CAATAGAATCTACCAAAGAGGGTTCCTGTCAGCAGTGAGTTAATATATGCAAAATGCTTAGCTCACTCCTGCTGTATAATGAAGAGTACCTACCTTTGTGGGATTATTTTGCTGAGTGGGGTGGCTCTCCATAGTGTCTGCTGAGCCAGGGTGGTGTGTATGTATTTGAAGTTCTCCAGTGCCGGCTTGGAGCTGTGTGCAGGTTGAAGGTTGTGAGCAGGCCATGTTTCGTGTTGGGATTTTCTCTGTCTTGAGAGGTAGGAGGGGAAGACAGCTTCCCACCCTGCGCCCCCCCCCCCCCCCCCCCCCCCCCCCCCCCCCGCCTCCATTCCAGTTTAGAAATTTTGCGGCTACAAATATCTGAGAACTCTAGATGCTTAAGCAGAAAAAACAACTCATTTTTGCATGGTTTTCTTGTAGCATCATTGGTACCTAAAAGATTTCTCTGGTTTCGTATGATACTGTTTCTAGAACAAAAAGAATAAATTCAGTTTTTGTAAACTAATTTCAATGAACAAAAATCTAAGCACATAGGTCATATTCTCAGAAGACCACAGTGTTTTACCCCAACATATTTTGACAATTTGTACAATAGTAGTGAATAGGGTAACAAATGGTAATTCCAGTTAGGAGCCTTAGCTTAAGAAAGTTTGAATTATGTGTGGAACATAGGGGAGTTTTAAGGTTGACAGAGTTTACACTAGTAGGGACAAAAGTGACTGATCTGAGTACTTCTGAAGGGTTTGGATGATGTACCTTCTTTCCTTTTTTTCCTTTTTATAGCAAATGGAATCACTTAATTTCAGATATACTTCATAGAGCTTATTTATATCACTTTACCATTCCAGCTCTTAAAGTATAATCGGGCTACATTCAGTATTAGCTCTCACATTGTTTTAAAATGTATTTCCATGCATTGAAGGATGGGTAGGATGTTAGTAGTTGCCGTGGCCGAGTCCAGGCTGTTCTTGCTTTGTACCAACATGCGTGGACTTCGGCTGTCAGGGTGCCGTATCAATAGCAGTTCCTGGACAGCACTGTTCACCTTTCAGTTACCAAAGTATTGTTAACCAAGTAACTGTGGAACGTAGAGATTTTGCTGCTGGCTCTTCAGTCCATAAAACCACTGCCTAAAAGATACATAATGGTTAGTGACCCCAAATTGCTTCTTTCAAAGTCTGTGGGTGATTGGTCACTGGACGTGTTACTCAGTTCATGCACAGGTGGCAAAGAGTGCAGTTGTGTTGCCTCCTCATCTTCAGCAGTAAACCCACATGGCATTTTACGAAAGTAAGTAACTGAAGGAGGGAATTGACCAAAGAAATGGAAAATGATAAAGTTGGAAGTAAAATTGAGTAGGATGCAAATGGAGTTACGGGAGGAATATGTTGCGAGGGAATGGAGACATGGCTGTTGTAGGACTAAAAAGAGACGCAGCTAGAGAGCCAGTGGATGTGAGCTTAAACAGAATGAGGAAGGTGGTGGGCAGGATGAGGATGTCCCAGAGGAAGTCACACTGGCAGAAACCTTCACTCTAAAGGGGCTCTTGGAGGTATTTTGTGACATTGAAAGTACAAATGATGCAATGGTAAAAGCGAATCTGATAGGGATAGAGTAGGATACTTAGTTTAGAAATCCCACTAGAGGATTAAAAATAGGTAATTCTGAGGGAGTTTGGGAGATTTGTAAGTTAATGACCACTCAAGAAAATCCAGTGATCCAGCAACAGTCTGTCCTTTATTGTGCCCATTTTGCATGAAATGCAATAAAGGACGGAAATGGTATGGGCCTAACAGAAGCAGAAGATACTAAGAAGAGGTGGGGAAAATACACAGAAAAACTACAAAAAAGATCTTCATGACCCAGATAACCATGATGGTGTGATCACTCACCTAGAGCCAGACATCCTGGAATGCCTTAGTCAAGTGGGCTTTATGAAGCATCACTAAGGATAAAGCTAGTGGAGGTGATGGAATTCCAGTTGAGCCATTTCAAACCCTAAAAGATGATGCTGTAAAAGTGCTGCACTCAATATGCCAGCAAATTTGAACAGCTCAACAGTGGCCACAGGACTGGAAAAGGTCAGTTTTCACCACAATCCCAAAGAAGGGTAATACCAAAGAATGTTCAAACTTGTGCTTATTTCACATGCTAGCAAGAAAATGCTCAAATTCTCCCAAGCCAGGCTTCAACAGTACGTGAACCATGAACTTCCAGATGTTCAAGCTGGATTTAGAAAAGGCAGAGGAACCAGTCAAATTGCCAGCACCCGTTGGATCATCAAAAAAGGAAGAGAATTCCATAAAAATGTCTACTTTTGCTTAATTGATTATTCCAAAGCTCTTGACTGTGTAGATCACAACAAACTGAAAAATTCTTCAAGAGATGGGAATGCCAGACCACCTTACCTGCCTCCTGAGAAATCTGTATGCAGGTCAAGAAGTAACAGTTATAACCAGACATGGAACAACAGACTGGTTCCAAATAGGGAAAGGAGTACATCAAGGCTGTATATTATCACCCTGCTTATTTAACTTATATGCAGAGTATATCATGTGAAGGAGTACATCAAGGCTGTATATTATCACCCTGCTTATTTAACTTACATGCGTAGTACATCATACGAAATGCCAGGCTGAATGAAGATGGAAATGCCAGCTGGAATCAAGATTGCTGGGAGAAATATCAATAACCTCAGATATGCAGATGACACCACCCTTATGGCAGAAAGTGAAGAGGAACTAAGAGCCTCTTAATAAAAGAGGAGAGTGAAAAAGTTGGGTTAAAACTCAACATTCAGAAAACTAAGATCATGGCATCTGGTCCCATCACTTCATGGCAAATAGAAGGGGAAACAATGGAAACAGTGACAGACTATTTTCTCAGGCTCCAGAATCATTGCAGATGGTGACTGCAGCCATGAAATTAAAAGACGCTTGCTTCTTGGAAGAAAAGCTATGACCAACCTAGACAGCATATTAAAAAGCAGAGATATTACTTTGCTGACAAAGGCCCGTCTCATTAAAGCTCTGGTTTTTCCAATAGTCACATATGGATGTGAGAGTTGGACTATAAAGAAAGTTGAGCGCTGAAGAATAAATTCTTTCGAACTGTGGCATTGAAGAAGACTCTTGAGAATCCCTTGGACTGCAAGGAGATCAAATCAGTCAATCCTAAAGGAAATCAATTCTGAATATTGGAAGGGCTGATGCTGAAGCTGAAACTCCAATCCTTTGGCCACCTGATGCAAAGAACTGACTCATTGGAAAAGACCCTGATGCTGGGAAAGATTGAAGGAGGGAGAAGGGGGAGACAGAGGATGAGATGGTTGGATGGCATCAGCAACTTGATGGACATGAGTTTGAGCAAGCTATGGGAGTTGGTGGTGCACAGGGAGGCCTGGCGTGCTGCAGTCCATGGGGTCGCAAAGAATTCGGACACAACTGAGTGACTAAATGGAACTGAGCAGCAATCTACACTATCTTAAAGGAAGACCAGGTGCATCCAAGTGCTAGGCACAGTCAAGCCACAAGTCCTGATAGTTAAATCACTGCTCCTTCTCCCCACCAGTGCCTTAATGTGTACCTACCTGGAAGCTCCCTAAACCCTGCAGTCTGGAGGTTTTATGGAGATTTCACCATGTGGGCATTATTGATGAAATCATGGGCTATCGGTGATTAATTCAATTTTGAGCTCCTCCTCCCTCCCCAGAGTTTGGGTGGTGGGGCTGGAAGTTTTAAGTTTCTAACCAAGGTTTGGTCTTCCTGGGGAGCAGCCCCCTATCCTGAAACTATCAGGAAGCTGCCAAGACTCACCTCATTAGAACAAAAGACCCTCCTACCACCTCTATCACTTAAATTACAAAGTATTTAGGAGTTCTGTGTCAGGAACCATGACAAAGACCAAATCTCTTTCTATGATATCACGGGTCACCCCCTGGTCATTGACCATGGATTCCTTACAGCGGATGCACTGTAACAGTCATGAGATACTGGCACATTTGGGGATCTAATAATTGATCTGGCCCATCCTTGCATGAAAATGTCCGTCAGTGTGAGGCCACTCAGGATTGCAGCTTCCATTCAGCCTTGGCAATTTCAAAAAGCAGGAGTGACCTCAGCAGTATGTGGCTTCACTCTTCAAGGTATAAGTCAGGAACAGCCAGATGGAAGATACACAGATAGCAAGGTATTGGGCAGGTGTCGGGGGAGAGGTGAGGTGTGGTGCATGGAATGTCCATGCCCTCCTTGGGTGAGTGACTCTCCCAGCACCTCTGTGTGTTCAGCTGCCTGGATGGTCTCTGGTTCTTTCTTTCCAGAACCTTCAAAAGGTACCATGTGGGGGTCTTTGGGGGTCAGTTCTTTAGAGCTGGCTCGTTTTCACAAAAAGGAGCCCTCTAGCTTCAAACCCAGGGTAAAACTGCAGCCTGGTGGGTGAGGGGTTCATCCCTCCTTTCGCAGCTGTTCATTGATTGTTTTCAGGCTCACACCTACTTCTAGCCCATGCCTTAGTGTCTCTGAGCCCTGGCCTTTGCCCATTCCTCCAAGAGTAAACCTCCAGTATGGGAGCTGTTAAGCCTCTGGTGCTGGGGTGTGCGATGGGACTCCCAGCAGACTCCCTCCCTCCTTCAATTCCCTGCCTCACACCCATTCTGTCCAGAATCTTGACCCCTCTCCAGAGTTCTGGGGGGACAGGACTCTGTGCTCAGAGGTGTCCCACTCATCTTGCATTTTGTGGTTTCCTCCCCCCTCTTCCACCAGCTTTCCATCTTCTAAGCATTGGCTTCAGTTTTTTCGGTTGCTAATGTTTCTCATTTATCTTTTAAAAAATCAATTTATTGTCCTTTATCGGGGTCTAGAAGGCAGAGGAGATATTGTATACACTTAGTTTGCCATCTTTAACTGGAATTCTCTCCCTGGCTTATACGATTAAGGAGGTGGACTGGTGAATTTGGGCAGAAGGGAGAAATGTGAGACTCTGGACACAGCAACAGTCAGACCAAGGCGTAAAAGTGTTTTTATTTACCTGGGCAGCACACACTTCGGACATCAATGACAAGGATTGCCAGTGCTGAGGGAATACTACTTGTGGCGATCGTCTTCTCCCAAGCTCCACATTTTAGCCTTGTACAGGGTGATGTCATTGTAGACCCTGAAGTGATTCAGCCTGCGGTCATCACGTTGCGGGTTGACCTAGAGAGAAGGCGGCAGATGTCAGAAAGAAGCCTGTGGGGGAGTGGGAAGACCTTGTCCTGTAGGGACCTGGACTTGACTCAGGTCCCAGTCTCCTGATGTGTGGCCCCTGATGCTTTTTCTTGCTAAACCCTGTTTGTGAAATGAAGATGACATAATCAGAATGGAAAGACAAGTGCGACAGGAAGTTCTTTAAGTTCTTCAAGTCTATTCAAAATCCTGTGTCTTTCTTAGGAACAGAAGCCCTGTATCATTTAGGGAGATCATATGCTAAAGACTGCATTTCCCAGGCTCCTTGCACTTAGTGGTGCTTTTCCAATCAATGACACAAATATGTTACTAGCATTCACATTTTCCAGAGAAGGGGACAGAATTTAGAGATGTAGGTGACATGCCTGAGACCACTCTACTAACACCTGGGAGAGCAAACTCAGGCCCTCTGTCATCAGCAAGCTTTGTTTAATCCACACTTAGCAGTATTCACTTCGTACCAGGTACTGTGTTCTAAGCACTGTCTCGTCTAATCCTCAGAACAATTTTATGAGAGACATGCTGGATTATCTACATTGTACTAGGAGGAAGCTTAGTCACAAAAGAGCTTAGTCACTTCCCAGGGTCACACAGCTAGTACGTGGTAGCCAGAGTTCAAATCCAAGCAGCTGGCTCCATACTCTGTTTCCTTAAACATCGCTGGATTACCCCTGACCTTCCAAGTAAAGGAGACCCACTTACCAAAGGCTCAGAATCCCATCCGATCTCTTGACCTTCAGTCTGTGTCTCTGGGTATTTCTTTCTTGGTCCCTGGGCAGCGTGGTGGATAAGATTTAGAAACCTGGCTGGGAGATGAGGCAGGGGTTACAAAGAAGTCAGGTTTGGGGACCAACGAGAGATACTGCGCCCTTGACTCTGGCACATCCTCCTGACAGGCAGCGCACCAGCCTCAGAGGCTTGCCTAGACATCAAGACACAGGCATCTGGTTCTTCCACACATCTCTCAACAAACATCTGTTGAGAACAAACTCTGTGCCAGGCACTGTTTGGGCCCTGGAGGCAGAGCAGAGTGAGATAGACATGGTTCCTGGTCTCCTGGTAATGTAGACTGGGTGAGGGGTCGGAGGACACAATATACAAGTGTAAGAACAAACCCGACATGTACTCACTGCTGTGTTTAAAGTAGATAACCAACAAGGACCTACTGTATAGCACAGGGAACTCTGCTCAGTGTCAGGTGACAGCCTGGATGGGAGGGGAGTTTGGGGGATAATGGATACATGTATGTGTATGGCTGAGTTGCTCTGCTGTGCTCCTGAAGCTATTGCATTATTAGTTGGTTATACTCCAATATAAAATGGAAAGTTAAAAAGAAAAACTACAGAGAGGCAGGCAGTGATGCACACTGTGAAGAAGGGAGTAGGCCAGGGGACAGGGGGAGACAGGGCAGGCTACTTAGGATGACGAGGGGAGGCCTCTCTGCATGCCTTGCCAGTGCTAGCCCTGAGAGAGGCGGAGGAGCAGCACATCACAGGCGGCAAGAACAAAGGCCCTGGGGCATGAGCAAGTTTGGGCAATGAAGCTGCAGAAGAGACAGTGAGGAGCTGGACTATAAGAAGTGAGGTCAGATCCTTCTGGATTGAAATCAGCATGGGTGTCAACACCAGGTATGTTTCTAACTCTACACCTTAAGGACTTAATAGATTTCATTTTCAATCTACCCTATCCAGTCTCAGTTTGAGGGAGGTAGTCTGACAAGGGGAAGAAGCTGGCTTGTAGTCAGACATTCATGGCCCTTCTACTACTAGCTTGACAGGTGGTTTAACTTCTCTGGGCCTCTTTGTTCATCTGCAAAATGGGAGGAAGATATCTACCTCAGCAAGATGTCCGAGAATGGAATTAAAAAGTAAAGGATTTGGCATTGGGCCGAGCTTATCCTGAATACAAGGCGGCTAGTGATGAACTCCTTACCACCTGTTATTTTCCTTATTGCTGCAAGTCCCCAGCCCCTATCATTTGCTCTAGCCAGGCTGGTGTCCCCACTACAGATGGCAATCTCACTTTCTATTCTCTATTAGTCTATTTACTTGTCTATCTCCACGATGCTATGAAATCCTCACTCCTCCTGCCCACCCCCACTTCCCACCCTGTCTCCTACATAAACCACACATCCTTCCTCTATCAAACTCCACCCTAAGAAGGTAGAGGGGAAGGAGGAAAGCTTGTTAGAAGAGTTAGGCTTCCTATCAAGTATCTTCTTCCCTCATTCTTAAATGTGGCCACACTTAACCGTATTATCACAGCCATGCCAAACTACTCACAGTTCTTAGGCCATGCTGGTGTCTCATTTCTGTGCTTTTCCATGTAACCAGAATGTCCGTCCACATTCTTCTACACCTAACATACTCCACCTCACCTTCTCCAGGAGGACTTCCCGGAACTTCACTGTCTGAGGTGGGCACCTATTTCCTATGCTGCTGCCATCCCAATCTTGCTCTGTTTACCTGGGTATTTACATGTCTATCTCGTTGCCTATGGTATGAGATTCTGAGCCCCATTCTAGTGACTATCACAGGGTAATAATGAAAATAATATTAATAACATGTCCCGATCACCATGTACCAGACACTTTTTTTAATGTAATACTGTTTAATTAACTTCAAAAACATTTCAGCATTCTAAACATACAAAAAAAAAAAAGAACTTTTGCAGATCTGTTTAGTATAGAAGGTTCTTGAACTTTTACTGGTACTGTGGCTCTTGGCTTTGCTGACAATGAAGAGTTCTACGGTTTGTTAAAAAAAAAAGTTTAAAACTACTGCACTTCAACTAAAAAGGATCCAAAACACTTCTCATGCCAGCTGCCCCCTGCTCCTCTTTCCACAGCTAGAATGGCAGCAGGATGCTATGCCACTATATAAAAACAAGACAACCTGAAGGTAAATGGATGCCCACCGCAGTGTTCACAGGTCCAGCCCCACAGTGCATGCCCTCAGCTACAGCCCCTCCAGAAGGCATCGCCCCCACAGCCTCCACACCAAGCAAGGAGCATCAAGAGTGTGCCTCAGTTTCTTTGTTCTTTTTGCGAACTATAGATACGTATAGTTGAAAACTCGGGATTTCTAGCCAATGACCATAGAATTAACACACCACCTTACAGATTTTTTTTTTCCATTTATTTTTATTAGTTGGAGGCTAATTACTTTACATCGTTACAGTACTTTTTGTCATACATTGAAATGAATTAGCCATGGATTTACATGTATTCCCCATCCCAGTCCCCCCTCCCACCTCCCTCTCCACCCAATCCCTCTGGGTCTTCCCAGTCCACCAGGCCCGAGCACTTGTCTCATGCACCCAACCTGGGCTGTATATTATCTAGGGTGAAACAGATCACCTTACAGATTTTTTTAAAAAGTGCCAAAAACATCTTTAAGCCTTGTCACACCAACAACAAAGTGCACATAATGAGAACACGAGAGCCTTTTCGTTTTAAAAACGTTTGGAAATATGTGCAACTTTGATACAGTTTCTGGGTGCTCCAGACACCCATGGCCACTTCCTGTAAACCACTGACAATGCTCTAGAGCACTTGGAGAGACTACGATATGGTCATGATCCAATTGGGTAATTAAACCTAATGAGGGCAACAGACACGTCTTGGATAAGAGGTGTGTCAATCACGGCGCTCCCTACTCTAAGGTATTCACAAGGAGACAGATCAATAGTTTTTTTAAATTTATCCTCCTCCTCCTTTTCCTTCTCCTTTTTGTCTTCCTCTTCCACCTTTTCCCGGGCAACTTTATCAGGACCTTTGGCACCATCAAACTTCCATTTAGACATAGTCTGCAACATCCTTCTCATACTTCTCCTTCAGCTCTGCTGCCTTGTTGATGTATGGCTGCTTCTCCCTGTCACTTAAGTTATTCCATATCTCGCCTAGCTTCCTTGCCATGTCTCCAACAGAGATGCCAGGGTTTATAGACTTGATCTTGGGGCAGAATTCAGAGCAGAATAGGAAAAATCCAGATGGTGGTCTCTTGGAGGCATTAGGGTCCCTCCTGTTCTTGCCTCCCTTAGCTGATCCATAATTCTTCATTTACCGATGGCGCAGTTTATCTGCCTTTGCCATTTCATTGAATTTAGACTTCTCTTTTCCCGGACACAGTCTTCCACCTCTCAGAGCATTTCTTGGAAAATTCAGCAAAATTGTCAGGGACCTCTGAGTTTTTCTTCTTATGTTCCTTTCTGCACATCTGCACAAAGAAGGCATAAGCAGTCATCTTGCCCTTTGATTTCTTAGGATCACCTTTAGCCATCTTGACTGTAAGGTTTGCTCGTCTGGGCAGCGCAGGGCCCCAGATACTGTTTTAAACACTTGCAATACATTGTTTAATTCTCACAACATCTCTAAGAGATAGGTTCAGAAATGTTAAAAAAAGCTTGCCCAAAGTAACGCAGTTAATGAATGGCCGAACCAAGCGACTTCATTTTCACTTTTCACTTTCATGCATTGGAGAAGGAAATGGCAACCCATTCCAGTGTTCTCGCCTGGAGAATCCCAGGGATGGGGGAGCCTGGTGGGTGAGTCTATGGAGTCGCGCAGAGTCGGACACAACTGAAGCGACTTAGCAGCAGCAGCAGCAGCAGTAGAACTCCAGAAACTGTGCTTGTTATCAGCTAAGTATCGGATGGGTGAACAAATGCAATGTCAGGGCCATGAGGAACATGTTTTTTGGCTAGACAGTTAATAAACTGGCAGTTTTGAAAATGTTGGTTTCTTGTGAGTGTTGTCAGTATGAGTTCAGCTTTCAGATGATCAAACAGAGGACTGAGGCCTGCCCTAAGGAACCACTACCCTGAGAGTATCCCAGCCAGCTGCCCTCTGTCTCTGTCTCAACGTCATTCTCAAATCCTGGACTTACCGTCTGCAGGTTCTTCCAGGTTATCATGCCAAGACATGGGCTTTCTGGTGATTGTGTGAACTAGAGAAAAACAGCATCATAGGTCCAAGTTAAAAAAATTTCTCCCTGGCCTTTCTAAGACCCTCCCCATGCTGGACACCCATTTAGCATTTTTGAGTGTCTGTCCAGTGTCAGATATTATGCTGGGCTCTAGGGTATAGGATCTTCAAGGACCTTACAATCTGAGAGGCACTGTCCTGATGATGGCCACCAGCCATATGTGGCGATTTGAATTTGAGTAATTTAAATTTAATACAATTGGAAGTCAGTCCCACAGCCACATTTCAAGTGATCAACAGCCACATATGGCTACTGGCTGCCATTCAGGGCAGCACAGACAGAGAACATTTCCATTATCTTGGAGTTTTCTCTTGGACAGACTGGTCTGTGGAGATGCAGATGTATCAGGCAGCCAGAGATAGTGATATATCCCCAGGAGGCCACGTGGTACCAGGTAGAGGATCCACAGACATCTATTCAGCTCATAATTACTGATGCAGTGCAGGTAGGGCTGCAAATAAGACAGAAGGTCCCTCCTCCCTGAGCTTATGCTCTACTTGTGGTGACATTCAATAAACAGGTATATAATATCTGGCAAATATAAGTAAGATGCACAACCACATAAAGTACATTATATGGATAAACCCATGTTGATGGTGGGGCACAGTGTGGGTGATGTGTCTCTAAAGACAGACAGGAGAGCAGAGTCCTGAATAAACTTGCTGTGTGAGATACACGGGGAAGATCCAAGAGTGAGCTTGGTGAGTTAGAGAAGTATCGAGAAGCAGAGTAATTCTGGTGGAAGGAGCTAGGTGGATGGTAGTAAGTGAGCAGAGGCCAGAAGGAACCAGTGGTCTCCACGTGTTTATCCCCATCTCCTACCAGTAAAAAAAAATAAAAACTTCCACATGTGTATGTTAATATAGTCTCTATGCACTCTTGTCATATATTAACAAAGCATTTCTTTCTTTATACATAAGTATAATCATAGGTACAAATTCTAATATTTCCTCACTTAATCCCAATGGATCATATTAATCATGTGCTCAACAATTGTGAGCTGAGAGACCAAGCACTTTTCCTAGGAAGCCTGGACACTGCTGGAAGGGATTATGAAAATTGTTGAAATGGGCCAAGTTTAAACAGAATTGGACGTTAAGTGGTTTTCTTGAAATTAGTAGTTGGGGGCTCCAGAGGAAAACCAGGTTATCATAAGCAAAATGAAGATATACATTTTCTGTACTCTCACCCCCCAGCCCCAACCCCCAAAGGTTAAGTATGTGAGGAGGTGGTTATGCTTAAGTAAATGACTGTCCTAATTATTTGACTGTGTAAATGTATATTTAAATGTCACGTGGTATACCTTAACTATATGCAAATTTTATTTTAAAATAATGACAATCCATTTCTTCTACACAGCTGAGCTGCAGTGGACTACAGTTAATCAGGTCCAGGACTAGGGGGTCTTTTCCAGTGGGAAAAATCTTTCCCATTGGAAAAGACTCTTATGTTGGGAAAGATTGAAGGCAGGAGGAGAAGGGGATGACAGAGGATAAGATGGTTGGATGGCATCCCTGACTCCACCGAAATGAGTTTGAGCAAGCTCCGGTAGATGGTGAAGGACAGGGAAGCCTGGCGTGCTATAGTCCGTGGGTTCGCAAAGAGTTGGACACGACTGAGTGACGAACAACAAGGGCTGGAGGAGAATTCAGAAAGAAGAGAAAGTGAAGAGGTGGGGGATAGCATGGTGATTTAGGAAATCCACGCATTCAGATATGGTGGGACAGAAGAGCCTGTGGCCGCTCCAGAATAGACACTAAAATGTTTATTAAAGGAACAGGGTGTGGGTACAGGGGAGTTGGGATGAAGCTGGGTGGGCAGCAGAACCAGATCCACAGGGGCCTTACATTCTGATCAGGGTAAACATCAGCTCAGAAGCTGTGGGGCCTCCGAGGGTTTTACAGAGGGACTGGGTGATTGAATCCCCTTTAGCACAGCTCTCTCCAGAGCCATGGTGTAGGGGAGGGTTGGAGGGTTGGGCCTGGAGGGAGAGAGTTAGGAGAGCATCAGATCAATGCAGGCAGGAGTGAGGAGGGCCCTGCTGAGGTTTCAGAGGCCAGATAGAGAGGGGGTCGAGCTAAGTGAAGATTGGCAGTCTTGCGTGATGGCGTCTCCCACTGAGGCAGGAACGTGGGAACCGTCCTGTGAGAGAAACGCTAAGGAAGAAACAGTACGGTGCCTACTCAGCTGTGTGGAGTGTGAGAGAGAGAGAGACTGAGGATGACTCCCAGGCTTCTAACTAGGGAGAGAGAATGGCTGTGGTGCCTTGTGCTCAAAACAAGATCTTCTGGAGCAGCCACAGGTGGGAGAGGGGTGCGGGATGAACCAGGGGAAGGGAGCTGGGACGTGGTTGTGGACATGGGTCTGGGTCTCCATGTGAGACTCAGTGCCCTTTAGAGGGAGCTGATGTTACAGGACCAGATGAAACTGGCCCAGGAATGTGCAAAGTGAGAAGAGTTGGGGTGGGGCCATTTAATCAGGCGCACGCTGGGCCTTGAGTCTGCGCCCCATGAATTTTCTGAAGGTCTTCAGACAATATAAGAAGGTGGAAAGAAATCCTTTATCTTATTAACAACAAACCAAAACACATCGAAACAAAACACAAAACCCTGCAAGATATTGCAAAAGCAAATTTATAAAGAACCTTTCAAATGTGTTACAATAAAATATTATTTAATCAGGATGTGGATGCATTTTAATACATCTGTTTGATGTGATGGGGAATGAGACCCCTCCCCAACCCCAGAGTCATAGTTCTGAAATGCTGAGAATAAGGGCAAGGCCAGAGGAGGCGTCTCCTACTGGGCTCCACCCCGCACCCCCTGCCCCGCACCCCTGTCGGCTCCTTCCCGCCGGGCGCCCTCTTTCCCTTCCTCCATCCGGTAGCGCCCCTCACCCTTGCGGAGTGGATTCACGTGATACTGCGTGTAGAGTTTCTGGGTTCGTAGCTCTTTGAGGTACAGTTCCCGCAGGATCTGGTTCTGGTGGACCTCATCTGTGATCGCCTTCTCCTTCTGGTGTCCAGCCATGGCCTTGGTTGGCTCTGCTGTGTCCGGTCAGTAGAGCGCCTCCCCCCTAGACGCTCACCAGGTGCCAGGCCAAAGGCTGTCTCCAGGCAACAGAGTCCCAAGCCGTCTCCAGGCAACCGGTCCTCGCTCACCCTCCTCCCTTAGACCTCGCTCCTGCTCGCCCATCCCCCACGCCCAAATCTTAGAACGCGCATTGCGCCCTCTTTAGGCGCTCAACCCACCTAGGACATATCTAGCTGCCTGACACTTCCAGAAAACAGACTTGCCATGAAATGACCAGTCAAGCCTAGAGGAAATCAGTCCTGAATATTAATTGGAAGGACTGATTCTGAAGCTGAAACTCCAATCCTTTGGCCACGTGATGGAGGAACTGACTCACTGGAAAAAACCTGGATCCTGGGAAAGATTGAAGGCAGGAGGAGAAGGGGACGACAGAGGATGAGATGGCTGGATGGCATCACTGACCCAATGGACTTGAGTTTGAGGAAGCTCTGGGAGTTGATGATGGACAAGGAAGCCTGGCCTGCTGCAGTCCATGGGGTTGCAAACAGTTGGACACAAATGAGCGACTGAACTGACGAAGTGACAGACTGAAGAGGTAATGGGCTTAGGATTCAGCCTCACCTTGACTAGTCATTTCCTAAAAACTATTTTGGAAGGAGTAAGAAACGTCTCTACATGAAAGCACAAGCCCCAAATTGAGACCCTCTATGTTGGAGAAGGAAATGGCAACCCAGTTGCCGTCTATGGGGTCGCACAGAGTCGGACACGACTGAATCGACTTAGCAGCAGTAGAAGCAGCATGTTTACTTCAGAAACATGGAGAGGTTTCCCATGCTTAAAGACATTCCTCCCCATATCACCCGTTTGATAAATAATATAGACAGGATAACCCTTTCTTAACCCCTAAAAGTAACTTAGGAGCTTTACAGTTTATTTAAATTTTTAAAGTTGTGGTAAAATACACATAGAATTTGCCATCTGAACCATTTTTAAGTATTTTAGTTCAGCACTGTGAGGTATAGTCACACTGTGTGAAACTCATTTCCAGAAAGTTTTTATATCCATTAAACAACTCCCAATTGCCTCCTCCCCTTAGCCCTTGGCGGCCACCATTTTACTTTTTCTATGAATTTTACTCCTCTAGATACCTTATTTAATACAGTTTATATTAAAAAAAATTCTAAAAGTAACCCTAGCATAAAGAAAGGAGCCATCCATGGTTTTAGGAAGCACCTAAATGCTGACTCCAGAGCCTGTGGTCTTCCCCTCTATGTACACTCCATCTGTCCACCCATCCATCCTTCCAACCAGAATAGTGTGTTCCCAGTGAGTTTAGGTTTGGAGACACAGTGCTGAACATGACAGATGGGTAGACATGTGTGCAGTTTCCTGAGCCCAGCAAACAACATCATGATCCTTGCTTTAGCTCCTGCTGCTCCATCTCCTTGGCCTGGAAGGCTCTTTCCCCTGTTGTATGTCTGGGGAACAATCATCTAATGTTTATAATGAGCTCACATGTAATCTTCTTTCAAAAACCTTTCTGGACTGTATAGCCCCTAGTCCAGTTTTTCTTTGTGCCATGCTCAACCTCAACTCTGTAGTTCTAGAATACTAAACTTATTTTATAGAACTAAGTTACTTGAGAACAAGAAATGTATCTGAGCATCTCTGAATTACCAGTACCTGGCACAGTATGTACAGATGCAGGCTTTTGGTAAATGTTTGCTGGGTGACTGGATGTCCAACCAGATGGCACTGTGATTTTCTTCTGCTTACACCATTATATAAACCTTTATATCATGCTGAAATGCAAACAGATTTCATCGTACCTGGCTGAGGTGGAGAAGAACCTCTGTTACTTGTCACTTCCCATGTCTGGGTCCCTTTTTCTAGCGAGTCTAACAGCCTCCTGAGGTCTTCAGTTCAGTTCAGTTCACTCAGTCATGTCTGACTCTTTGCAACCCCATGGACTTCAGCATGCCAGGCTTCCCTGTTCATCACCAACACCTAGAGCTTGCTCAAACTCATGTCCATCACGTTGGTGGTACCATCTAACCACCTCATCCTCTGTCATCCCCTTCTCTTCCTGCCTTCAATCTTTCCCGGCATCAGGGTCTTTTCCAATGAGTCAGCTCTTCACATTAGGTGGCCAAAGGATTGGAGTTTCAGCTTCAGCATCAGCCCTTCCAATGAATATTCAGGGTTGATTTCCTTTAGTATTGACTGGTTTGATCTCCTTACAGTCCAAGGGACTCTCAAGAGTCTTCTTCAACAACTCAGTTCAAAATCATCAATTCTCCAGTGCTCAGCTTTCTTTACAGTCCAACTCTCACATCCATACATGACTACTGAAAAAACCACAGCCCTGACTAGATGGACCTTTGTTGGCAAAGTATTGTCTCTGTTTTTTATTTTTTTAATTTATTTATTTTTGTTTGTTTTTTAAATTACATTTATTTAGCATATGTACACATAAAAGAGAAATCACCCTCTGTTCCCACCCAGCAGAAAACATGCACAAACCCAAGGTATACATGAAGGGACAGGGCCCCAGCCCCAGGTTAGTGGTTGGGATGGTGCGGTCCTGTGAGTCACCAGCCCCGGTCAAGGGAGGGCTGGACTCAAGTGTTGGGCAGGCTGTACCCCTGCTGTGGGGCCTAAAACAAGCGCGCGCCATAGCCAAAGGTCTGTTTGATGCCCTCAAAGTAGTACCGCTGCCAGCCCTGCCTCGTCCTCTCCTCCTCTGGGGCGGGGATGCCTCGGCCCTCCATGCACAGCTCAGTCTCTCCATTCTTATCGATGAAGGTCAAGGTGATGGTGGCAAAATGCCCTTCTGGCCAAGATTTAAACCTCCACTTCATCACAATGTATTTCTCAGGGACCAGATCAGTGAATTCTCCAGAGATATTGCCATCTACCAGGTGAAACTTGCCACCTTTGTCTGCTTCTAACATAGCAGGATCGTGGGTGAAGGCCTGAACGAGCTCTTGGGTGGTAAAAACTCTATAGAGCTCCTCTGGTGATGTCAGGAAGCTTTTTCTAAGGGTGATCTTACAAGTGGGGATTTTGACACCAACAGGTCTGGCCTGGGTTTTTGAAGGAGCAGACTTAGCCTTGCGCTCCTCAGTTTTCAGTGCTGGTGGCCCGGCTGGGTCTACTGACTCTCCATTCACTGTAGGCAAGATCATACCCTGCGTGAACTCTGTTTTGAGGGTGCTGATGTAAATTCCCATTGCTTCTCTTAGAAGTTTCACCCCTTCTTCCTTCATTAAGGCCACGAGATTTGTGTCAGTCTCATCTTTGGCAAGGCTCACACTAATCTCCACTTCATCCACGCTATTTTCATCAGACAAATTGGGGATCTCCGCATGGCCCTTGTACTGCACTCCAGACTTGGAGGTACCTGTCCAGTTTAGTTTGATGCTCTACTCATAAAAGAAGATAAGTTTGCCTTTGCGATTGTTAATGGATGCCTCTCCATCAAGCTTACTCACTTCTGTCACCTCACACTTGCCTTCCTCATTTTGCACACGCACAGCCAGGAAGAGTGTTTTCAGCTTATCTGTGGACCAGTTCGAAGCATCCCACTCTGTCCAATGCCAGTTGACGTTGGTGGCATCCGCCCGCTCCTCCACGATCCAGCGTGGGTCGCCCTCACCCCACTTGGCCATCGGCTCTCCTATCGCACCGCCAACAGCTCCCGAGCAGCCACAGCCACAGCCTCAGGACAGCCCGGTCGCGGCTGCCCGGCAGCGCCTGGAAACTACTAGAAGAAGCTGCAAGATCCTCCTGGCTTGCTTTTCCCCCCCCCCCCCCCCCCGCCCCTCCCCCTGTCTCTGTTTTTTAATATGCTGTCTAGGTTGGTCATAGCTTTTTTTCAAAGGAGCAAGCATCTTTTAATTTCATGGCTGCAGTCACCATATGCAGTGATTTGGGAGCTCAAAAAAATAAAATCTGTCACTGTTTCCATTGTTCCCTCATCTATTTGCTATGAAGTGATAGGACTGGATGCCATAATCTTAGTTTTCTGAATGTTGAATTTTAAGCCAGCTTTTTCTCTCTCCTCTTTCATTTTCATCAAGAAGCTCTTTAGTTCCTCTTCACTTTCTGCCATAAGGGTGGTATCATCTGTGTATCTGAGGTTATTGATATTTCTCCCAGCAATCCTGATTCCAGCTTGTGCTTCATCCAGCCTGGCATTTAGCATGATGTACTCTGAATATAAGTTAAATTAGCAGGGTGACAATATACACCCTTGACGTTCTCCTTTCCCAATTTGGAACCAGTCTGTTTTCGTTAGGATTTTTATTAGTGTCTGAAGAGGATTGATAAAATTACAATGAAGGCAAAACACAGATAATAGTAAGATAACCAGAATCTGTTCATGGCTAAAAACATCATCACAGAAAAGGACTCCTGCAAAGAACTGAACTTACTTTCAAGCTGAATATTGTTTGGCCATCATCTTGAATTCAGTAGGTCCACCAAGTAAGCCTTCTGGGGATCCACAATCCTGGTATTTCTGAACTGTACCAGCTCTGTTCCAGCAGTAGAGAAATTATCTCTCCAGGATAAGATCTGTGAATCAGCAGGACTGGTTGGGGTTGGCTGGAGTGTTGATGAGGACCAGAGACCAAGGGACTAAAAGAAGGGGCAGTAGGGGAAGTAGGGGCACAGATAAAGGAGTAACAGGAAAGGGGAGCCAGACGAACAGGGTGGTAAGTAGTTGATATGGAAGAGACAGGGAAAGAGCTAGACATGGATGTCATTAAGGTAGGGTGGCAGGAAGGGGTGACACTAATCAGAGGAAGGAAATGGGTAGGTCTGAAGTGTGAAGGGATGGATGGGGCTGCAGAGTAGGCTGAGGGCTAAAAGATGGAGGAGACAGGGGAGGAAGGAGCTCTGGATAATGAGCGCAAGAAGGAACAGAAAGAGGAGGTGGAAGCTGGGGGTGAGATGGGGAAATTGGAGGTAGCTTTCTTGTCATTTTTTCAAATTGCATATTTCTAGTTACTCATCTTGTGAAGATAAACTGGCAGAAGCTCACACCTGCTCCGGAACCTATCTGATACACTGCCACTGGCACCTCCCCCTGTTGGAATGCCCATTATGAAG